AGCCTGAGACCAGAAGAACTAGATGGTGCCTGGCTACCACCAATGACTGCCCTGACAGGGAACACAACAGAGAGTCCCTGATGGAGCAAGAGAAAAGTGGGGTGCAGAACTCAAATTCTAGTAAAAAGACCAGACTTAATGGTCTGACTGAGACTGGAGGGACCCTGGAAGACACAGCCACCGGACTCTCTGTTAGCCTGAAGCTAAAACCATTTCCGAGGCCAACTCTTCAGACAAAGATTAGACTAGACTATAACACTTAAAATGATACTCGTGAAGAGTGCGCTCAAGTAGATACATGAGACTAAACGGGCAGCTCCTGTCTGGAGTTAAGATGTGAAGGCAAAAAGGGACAGGAGCTGGTTGAATGGATACAGGAAATCCAGGGTGGAAAGGAGGAGTGTGGTGTCACATTGTAGGAAGAGAAACTAGGGTCACAAAACAATGTGTATAAGTTTTTGTATGAGAAACTAACTTGAATTGTAAACTTTCACTTAAAGCACAATTTAAAAAGAAAAGTTAACAATCAAAGGCATATATGAACCTTAACTGAATCCTGATTTTTAAGATAGATAGATAAATAGGGAGAAATAGAATTGGGTGAAATAAGTCACTCCCAGCAAAATAACATTTGGCTAAACTGTTAACACCCACCAGGGCAGAAACCATCAGATGCCCCATTTGTGTGCTGCACTCACTATGCCTGATAAGTCACATTCAACTTAACCTGTCCTGCTCCTTTTGATCCAGTCCATCTCCCCAGTCCATCTCCCCTACCCCCAACTAGTCTGCCCTGTCATTATTCAAAAATCCTACCTGCAGGTTCCTGTCTAATATATGTCCCCAAGACCAGGCTCACTATCTCCACCTAGACATCAGAGAGCCTTCCTACTGATGGGTCCTCTCACCCAGGGATACCCCTAGCCCTAACTTATGCCTGAGTGAATAATAAACCTCAGAACTACTTGTAACCAATGGCTCTGGTATGGTCTGTTTTGATGTCTGATACTGACCTGGGAGTGGGCCTGGTGAGACTATGTTTTAACACATACCCAAACACACACACACATACCCAAACACACACACACACACACACACACACACACACACACACACACACACACACACACACTTCCACTCATATAGGCAATTCTTGCTTTGCATGTTGTTGTTGGGTACTGTCAAGTCGATTTTTGACTCATAGTGACCCCATGTGACAGAGCAGAACTACCCCATAGGGTTTTCTTGGCTGTAATCTTTATGGAAGCTGATTGCCAGGTCTTTCTTCCATGGAGCTGCTGGGTGGGTTCAAACCACCAACCTTTCAGTTAGCAGCAAGCAATTGACTGTTGTGCCACCTGTGTTAACTGCACAGAAACTATTTCTTGCTTTGCAGGGTTATATGACAATTAACAAAATGAAGAATAAGTTCTGACATAAATAAGTTTCAGTTAATACAATATTATACAAAGTGAGGATTTCATGTACATTTCTCCAGGTAGACAGACATCGTTAGGAAAATGTGAATATGGATTAGTTATTAAATAATGATATGGAACTATTATTAATTTCAATAGATAAGATTATAGTATTGTGATTATGTAGGAGAATATCCTTATTCTTAGAGGATATATGCTGAAATATTTAGTGATGAACATCATAATATTTGGGGCCCTGGGGGTGCAGTGGTTAAGAGATTAGCTGCTAACCAAATGGTCGGCAGTTCAAATCCACCCGCTGCTCCCTGGAAACCCTGTGGGGCAGTTCTACTCTGTCCTATAGGGTCACTATGAGTTGGAATCAACTCGACGGCAACAGGTTTTGGTATCATATTTTCAAATGGTTTAGCAAAAAGACAAAAATGTACAGAGAGATATAAAGCAAATGTGGCAAAATATTAACAGTTGCTCAATGTAGGTAGATGGTATATGTTTACTGTACTATTCTTTCAATCTTTCTGTGGGCTTGAAAATTTGAAAGAGCTGGCAGTCAAAAAAAGTACCGAGGAGTGGAGGAAAAAGGGAGGAGACCAATTTCTAGCAGAGCAAAATGTGTTTTTCTGAGGGTCCCCGATGGAGCAGTAGAAGGATGGGATGCAGAACTCAAATTCTAGTAAGAAGACCAGACTTAATGGTCTGACTTGAGACTGGAGGTGCACCAGAAAGCATGGCCCCTGGTCTGTCACTCCAGAACTAAAACAATTTCCAAGGCCAACTCTTCAGACAGGGATTGGACTGGACTGTGGGACATAAAGTGATACTTGGAAAGAATGTGCCTCTTAGTCAAGCAGATACAAGAGACCAAAGGGGCGGCTTCTGTCCAGAGGCGAGATGGGAAGGCAGAGCGAGTTAGGAGCTGGTTGAATGTTCATGGGGAATCAGGGGCGGAGGGGAGGAGTGTGCTGTGGCAGAATGGGGTGAGCGGTTCGGGTCTCATAACAATGTATGTAAAAAAAAAAAAAAAAAAAAATTCTGTATAGGAGACTAACTTGAAATGTAAACTTCATTTAATTACAATGAAAAAAAAAAACTGTAAAAAAAACAAAAAAAAAACCAAAATGTTTTTTTCTATAGAGAAAGCACAGCATATTGAAGGGGTTAAATGTAATACTTATTAACTCACTGTACAATATCTGCTATGGTTCTGTTTTTGTCTTTTTTCCAAACAAATACAATTTTCTACCTTATCAGAGGTGATCAAAGATCGTGGTTCAAAACTTGATGCACCAGAGATGTGGGCTAATGCTGCAGCCAAGGCATCCACTGCCCCTTTCTCTTCTATCAGTCTCTGAGCTGATGGTCGGAAAAAATCAACAGCAGCATAAGAAACAGAAGCCAGAGACCTGTGGTTTAAAAATAGTAATTTTCTTGGTCAAGACACAGGTAAAAAATGAAAGATAAGAGAATGAATGGGAAAAGAAAGAGTAACATTTTCTTATGTTAATATAACTTAAGTGTCTGCTGGTAAAACTGTTGATTAAAGTTTTCTGACATTTGAACTAGGAGAGCTAAAGATGAACAGCCTAATACAAAAGAAAAAAAAAATTTTCAGCAAGGTCAGAAAGCATACCTGATGGCATCCATGCTTTTAGATTTAACTAAATCCATTGTAGAAGGAACACCTACACGTTTAAAAGTAATTCCCTGAAAATGAAAGAATTACATTAAAGAAAAATGGAAGTCTTTACAATTAATTCTTAAATTAATATAGTTTGTTGAATTTCCATTTCTTGGACACAAAGATTTCCAAGCCCTAGCCAAAAGATCTGCTTTTTCTAATAAATCATTAATTATAAATTGCAGAATGAGAAAAAAAAAAAATTGTCCCTTTGTTATAATCATGAAACTTCACTTGCAAAACAAAGTTGATTCCTAAAAAAATATAAAAAGATGTTGTTTATATCTATCAAATTTTTTCTTATTATCCCATCTCATTTTACAAAGTATATGAAGCAGCATACAAAAACAAACGTAATAAAAATAGGAAAATATGTGAAATTACACAAAAAATCCAGACTAGAGAAATGCATAATTTCTTATAGAAACTGGCTTTTGTACCACTACTCAATATAATCTTAACTATTACACCAAGTCAAAATTCCCCACAGTCACCCATTTACAATGCTGGATAAGAGGTATGAAATCACAATGCACTTCTGATTTTAGTATCAAGGGAGAAATTCAAGAGGAAAATGAGAAAGTCAGCTCTTCTGTCTTCACAATAATGGCTGTATTAAAAACAAAGTCTTGCAACTAATATAAATTTAGCTCTCCACATGCTTCACATCCAAAAGTAGCTTAAACTGAGAAAAGTTATGAAGATCTATTTGTAAGAACAAATATAAAAGCTCTTTTCTAAGGTACCATTTAGATAATCATAAGCCTGAAATAGTTTAACTCAACTTACTGCTTTTTGTTCCACATATCTTAGCTGACCTCTTTCTCTTGGCTGATAAAAACATATGCAAATCCCTGTCCGGCCAGCTCTACCTGTGCGTCCAGAGCGGTGGATATAGGACTCAACATCCTAAAAATAAAACAAGCAATACCTTTAAAAACTAAGGCGGGGTACACAGTTATTCCAGCATCCAAACACTAATAAGAATACTACTACTAATAAAAATATTTGTATCTTAATTCTGCTGCTCTTTACAACATCCTAAAGAATTTATACACTTGAATTTGGGGGAGGAAAGATTTTAATTTAAGGCCTTTTTATCTACCTCACCCCACGGCTCTTTACATGGCTGATGTTATTGTTGTGTGCTGTTGATTTCTGACTCACAGCGGCCTCATACAACAGAGTAGAACTGTCCCACAGGGTTTTCTTGGCTGTGATCTTTACGGAAGCAGATCACCAAGTTTTTCTCCCATGGATCCACTGGGTAGGTTCAAACGGCCAACCTCTTGGTTAGCAGCTGAGTGCTTAACCAATGTGCCACTAGGGCTACTCCTTTATATGGGAACTTTTTATAACTCCTTTACATGATTTTGTTGCTCTTGCTTCAACTCCAAATAATAAAGTTAATCATTTGCAAAGGTGTTAGATTCTGATCAATTCAACACTGCATTAAAAAATGGCTAAGAGCAACAACAGATTACACATTTTTCACATCCCAAGGAATATTTTATAAATAAAAAGGCAATTTATAAAATTGCTCTTATTTTCCCCAAATCAAATCCCACTTCCTACCTGTGGAGGAGAACTTTGAATCACCAGGTCAACCTCAGGAATGTCCAAACCACGGGCAGCCACATTGGTTGCCACCAACACTTTAAAACTACCTTCTCTGAAGCCTTTCAGTGTAATTTCTCTTTGTGACTGTGCAATGTCTCCATGTAAACACTGGGCATTCTATTTTTAAAAAAAGGGGAAAAATTAGGTATATAACTCACACTTGCGGTTGATGGTACCCTAACACCATACAGTCTGTGCTCTTTTTCTGTTGTTTTTTAGTATTCTTTTCTGATAATTATTATAACACATAATACTGTTTCAAAAATCAAAATCAAACATTACAGAAAGTATTTAACATAAAATGTAAAAAATTCCCTTAATCCCTGCCTCCTAGAAATAATTAATTCTTGACAGTTTGGTGGATATTCTTCCAGATTTTTTAAAAAATACACACACACACACACACACACACACAGTAGCATATACTATAATTTTATGTATTTATTTACAAAAATGGGATCATACTATATATACAATATTTTGCAACATGTTTTTTTAAGATTTAGTATATCTTAGCCATTTTCCACATCTATAGATATAATTCTACCTGATTTTTAAAAACTGTGCATGATTTCTTCATATGGATGTGTAGCATCATTTAATGATCAACATTTAGGTCATACCGAAATTTTCACCTTGAAAACAATGCTGAAATGAATGTATTTCTGGACACCTTAGTATACAAACATTTCAGTAGGATGCATGTCTAGAAACTGAATTTCTAAGCCAAAAATTATGAATATTTAACGTTTAAATAACTACTGCCAAACTGTATTACAAAAAGGAAGTGGTACCCGTTTACTCTTCAACATTCTACAAGTGTTTATTTCATCATACCCTATCCACCCTGTAGATTATGAATCATTATCACCCTGTGACTCTAACAGGCAAAAATGATATCCCATTGTTATTTAAATTTGCATTTCTATAATCTTCAGTGAAGTTTAACTTATTTATACTGGGTTGATCTTCCGCTTCTGCTGCAAATAATTTTTCTAACATAAGCTACTATCAAAGTCAAAAAGTTCAAAACAACAAGTTAACCCTAGGAGTATCTAAATCTCAGTATCTAAGGTTAATGCATTCATGAATGTATTCACTACGCACTTGCTATGCACCAGGCACTACACCAAGTTCTGTCACATTCATATAGAAACAACCCTGAGAGACACATTGATGGGCATTTTCAGTACGTACTTGTGCTGACCTGTGCTTTAACAGGTATAGGCGCAGAGTGCTATAGGAATACCTAAGAGGGGAATCTAAAGTCTGTTTGGGAGGAAGGCAGTACTGAAACCAAGACATGACAGATAATGAGGAAATAGCAGTCAGGTAAAAAGAGGAGCAGGAGTTCTAGCTAGAGCAATAAGGCAAGAAAAAGAAAGGGCATCCAAATTGGTAATGAAGAAGTTAAACTGTCCCTGTTTGCAGATGATATGATACTATACATAGAAAACCCTAAAGA